ACTAGTGGCATCTCTGATATCAAAGCATCCTCATCCTTTAAGAACTCAATAAATATATTATAGCCATGATTCTGAGCACCTACTCAGAATGACTTCAGAAATTCTGCCTATGCTTTCAAGTATACTGGGCAAACGTGGAAGTCATGGGATGCCAGGTAATTGCTGCTTTTGTGTCCCTTCTACAACAAAAGCCATTGTACAACAATGGGTCATTTGTCCATGCAGTCTTGACTAGCACTTATTTTAGTGTCATGAAAGAGAAACAGTTTATGTTCAAATGGTTCATTTTCAAATTGTCCAAGGTTTTGCCAGTAAGAACTTAAAAATCAGGTCTCTGTGACGAGATCAGGAATTGCCAGCAATTAGAGAGTTAAAGAACTGAGTGGAGCTCCCGAAGGTCCCTAAGGAAAATCAGCAACATAGGATGGGGACACATGTCTGCCACATGCCACACCATACTGCCGCGTGCCTTCACTCCTCCGAATGATGGTCTTGCCAATGTTAGATGAGCATGTGGAGTTCTGTTGACTTCGCAGTGGTTACAGCTGGAAAGTGACAGCCTTCTGAATGGCTCCAGATTGTTGTCACCACGTGAGTAGCTTATCCTCATTCCCCTGCTTCAGAAATTCTACCCCCACACCCTGCAATTGGGCACCTCTAGAGCACTACAGAGCAATTACCTGTCTACATGGGACTTCATTTCTGTTCTCCTTCAAAGAGAGGAGGAAAACTCAGGACCTCCCCAGTACTGTTCCCCCCTCTTCAGTGTGAGGGAGGACACACCTTCCTGCTTTGGAGTCAGAGTGGTGGTAGGGTATGTGGTTGGCAGGATTGTCTAGACTTCTCCTCCAAAGTGTTCCTGTCATTTCCAGAAAAGGGAAGAAGACCCAAGCCCACTCTACACTATATCATGCCATTGACAGGCAGAACGCAAACCAATTCCCCACCACATCCCACCTTGTTCTGCATGTTCAAAGGACTCAAGAGCATGCCTGACATTGCCCTGGCTTACCACATCAAGCCTGATACAAACTATGTACCATGCTGCTATAGCTGCTGCAGACCTTTCAAAGGACAGAAGGGGGCAACCACCTGACCACTGAAGGAGTCAATTCCTTCTGGTTTTGTGCATTGAATTGGTTCTTGGGACATGTGCCAAAGCCAAGTTATTCTCCTACCAAACTCAAAGGAGTTAGCACTAATTAAATCCCCAGAGGCAAAAGACATGGCAATTTGGGGGGGGGGGATCTCCACATCCCTGCTCTCTGATTTTTGTTTTCAGTGAAATCCTTTGAAGTGATAGGCAGATGAGGCCAAAGAATGGTACAGCCACTCTAGCCTATTTTCAGCAGAGAAAAGAGTCCAATCTACGCCTTCAGCTAGAGTGGGAGCGCTTCCAAAGGAGGCCCTTTTCATGTTTGTCTTCTAATTGATAGTAGAGGAAATGGTGGTGGCCAACAGTTCCAGCACCTCCAGCTCTTTGGTTCAAACCCTCAATAAGTATGAATAGCAGTTCTTATTGTCCCAACTCCACAGACAGATGAAGCAGGGCTTGTAGAGTAAGGCTGGACAGCCTGGTGGTCCTGAAAGCTGGGAGTCCACAGTAAAGATCCTCTTAATTATTATGTTCTCCCAAGTCCCACCATGTTTCCAAATAAGGACTGGGTCATCCAGGTGGTGAACTCATTCATAATCTCCAATTAGGACTTAGTAGGAAAGAGGTGGAGCCAATCTCAGGAGCAGAACAAGGGGAAACATAAGGGAACTCAAAGGATTCAAATTATATCAGAAAAATGGCTGAAAGAGCTGAATGTGTGACTAAAGCCAAATGGTTTGGCAGATCCAGCCATGCTTGGGGATCTGTGATGACAGGGACAGTCTTTTTCCATCCCACTTTGAGCTGTCTTTATAGAACTTTATCTTTTATGTCCAAAGATCAAATTAAAATAAAAAGATCACATTTAATGAGAGCTAAGGGAAATAAAGCGGTGGCAATTAAAGAGTAAAAATAACCCCTCTGTGGTTGCAGACCACAGGAGTTCGCTAGTTTTAAGAGCCACAGGCAAATCACTTAAACAAGGCCTTTTGGGCTGCATTCCTCTCATGTTTCCTCCCACACCCACAGTGGTTAAAGTTATAGGCAGCCTTGGCTCTTGAACTCCTGGAACTGTGTACTAACCAGAAGTGCAACAGGCCAAACTCATCAACTTACAAATGCAACATTGTTACAAGGAAGTCAAAGGCAAGACCCTCTGCCGTGCACCTCTGGGTGTGACCCCAGTTAACAGGGTAGAAAAGACAGAATCTCTAATCTTAATGAGATCCTTTCCTTTCTCCCACCTCAAACCTATTTTCTACTGTCCTCTGACTGGGGACATGCAGTGTCCTAGTTGATCAACGTCCAGGGAATTCTCACTCAGCTTCTTAGTTTTCCATGTGTAGACTGGATCTGGACTAGACCATGAAGCATTCATAAACTGTTTATCTGACCTAGGATAATCCGACTCCCTCAAACATAAAACAAAAGCCAGGCTGATCTGAGATTCCATTCAGTCAGTGCCTGTCCCCAACAGGTTTGCTGTCAGGCAGTCCTCAATCTTCAGATGAGGCTAACTACAGAAAAACATCTGTAGCTCAGAGACAACTTCCCAGAACACCTGTAGACACACAAAAAAAATTGCCCAGAGAAGACAAGCCTGGAAGACTTCATAAAAATGACCAATTCTGGACAAGATGAGTTACTAAGAAGAAAGAAGTAGGGGGGACGGGGCTGGAGAGATATCTCAGAGGTTAAGAGCACTGGCTGCTCTTCCAGAGGGCCTGAGTTCAATTCAAAGCAACCATATGGTGGCTCACAACCATCTGTAATGAGATTTGGCGCCTTCTTCTTACCTGTAGGCATACATGCAGGCAGAATACTGTATACATAATGAAGAAGAAGAAGAAGAAGAAGAAGAAGAAGAAGAAGAAGAAGAAGAAGAAGAAGAAGAAGAAGGGGTGATCACCCTACAATTTAAAGCCTGACCCACATCTGATAGAGGACTAATATTCAAAATACATAAAGAACTCAAGAGACTAAATATCAACAAACCAAACAATCTAACTGAAAAATGGGGTATGGACCTAAGCAGAGAATTTGTAATTCAAATGATTGAGAAACACTTAAATGTTCAACATCCTTAACCCTCAGGGAAATGCAAATCAAAATCACTTTGAAATTTCATTTTACATTTGTCAGAATGGCTTAAATCAGTAACACAAGTGACAGATTATGCTGGCCAGGATATGGAGCAATGGGAATATCCTCCATTGCTGGTGGGAGTGCAAACTTGTAGGGCCACTATTAAATCAATGGGGCAATCCCTCAGAAAATAGGAATTCCATCTACCCCAAGACACAGCTGTACCACTCTTGAGTATATATATCCCAAAGACACTCCATCCTACTGCAAGGACACTTGCTCAACTATATTCATAGTGGCTTTATTTATAATAGCCAGAAACTGTAAACAATCTATATCTTCCTCAACTGAAGAAATGTATGAAGGAAACATGGTAAATTTACATGATGGAATGTTACTCAGCTGTTTAAAACAAAATGATATCATGAAACTTGCAGGCAACCGGATGGAACTAGGAAAAAAACAATCATCCTGAATGAGACAACCCAGCCCCCCAAAGACAAGCATGATATGTACTTACTTTTAAGTGGATATTAACTGTTAAATAAAGGATAATCATGCTACAATCCACAGACCCAGAAAGGCTAAGTAACAAGGAAGGCTCTGGGGGACACATGGATCTTTCTGGGAATGAGACTGAAGGAAGTTGGGGGTGGGAACTGGAGGAATCAGGTTAGGAGGAAGTGATAGAGGGAGAAACTATGTAGAGAGACACCTGGAATGTGGGGATGTGGGAACCGAGAGCAGTGGAAACTTTCTGGAATCTACTATGGTGACCCTATCAAGGACTCCTTGTAATGGAGGATATAGAGCCTGAACTGGCCATCTCCTGTAACCAGACAAGGCTTCCAGAGGTGGGACAGGGACACCAACCCAGTCACAAAACCTTACACGTACAACCTGTCCTGTCTGCATGATGTGCTGGGGCAATGATGACCCAGAGCTTGTCGCCAACCATTGACTGATCCAAAATGAGGTCCATGCCACAAGAGGGACTCCATACACAACACTGTCTGGATGACAAGGAACCATAAGTTGGATAGCCCAGAGACCTAGGATAGAACCAAATATGACTGTTCCCCTCCCCCCCAAAAAAGATTAAATGATTTTTAATTATACTCTGCTAAACTCATCAGTGCCTAGTCCAGTTGTTATCAGAGAGGCGTCCTCTAGCAGCTGATGGAAGCAGATGCAGAGGAACTAAACATATACCCACAACTAAACATTAGGCAGACCACCAGGAGCCCTGCAGAACAGAGGGAAGAGGGATTATAGGAGCCAAATTTGTAGAGGACACCACAAAAACACAGTCCACAGAATCAATTGAGCAGGGCTCATAAGTGCTCACAGACACTAAAGAGGCAAACATGGAGCCTGCATGGGTCTACACTAGGTCATCTGCAAATATGCTATGGCTTTTAGCTTGGGACTCCTACCAGTGTGAGTGGGGTGTCTCTGACTATTTTGCCTGGTTCTTGGGATTCTTTTCTTCCTGCTGGGTTCCCTCATCCAGCCTTGATATGAGGGTTTTGTTTGTTTTGTTTTTACCTAGTCTTATGGCATCTTGTTCTGACATATGTGGCTGATATCTCTGGAAGGCCTGTTCTTTTCTGAAAGGAATCAGAGAAGCAATGGATCTGGGGGAGATGAGAGGTAGGGGTACTGGAAGGAGTGGAAGGAGGGAAAGCATCAGTCAGGTAGTAGTATATGAAAGAAGAATAAATAAAAGAAAAACAAAAAGACATGATACACTTTGTTTCAAGGTCAAGCATACTCTCAGTCTATGATCCAAACCTGTCCATCAGCACAATGAACTTACCTGTAGAAAGTGGTATAATCCACTGTTGAGTGGCAGGTCTGAAACTCCCAGGACTTGAGTTTCTGGCATTCTCGATGGGCTCGGAGCTTCACCTTCACTGTGCCTTGACATAGCTCAGGCACTGGTTTTCTCTGTGGTCTGTTGCAGAATTCATTGGATTCCACCCTCCATGACTCAGCAAAGTCATCCACATCAAACTTGAAGTTTCCATCTCCACCAATCAAGTCATCACGTTTATGTCCATTGTAGTTGCCACAAAGACCACACAGCTTGCCCTTGAGATGAGGCGCAGCCATGACCTCCACAAAACTGTCTCCATCCCAGGATATCTCCAAACCTAGAGGACAAGAAGACAGGAGGATCACCCATCCCGAAACATCCCAACAATTCCCAAATTTGTGCATCTTTCCTAGTTCATATGCCATCAGCCCTCAGGGAATAACCCTAGCTACTGTACAGACTCTTACCTGCCTTTTAATCTCACCACACTCAATCTTACATAAATGAAAGAAACGATTTCATTCAGAGAGCTTGGGATTTATCAACTGTATAAAGTTTCCCTTTGTAATATCTTCTGTACTTGGAGTCTGACCTCCATAGAAAACTACTGTCACTACAGTATTCATGAGTATATTCTTTTTAAGTTTTCCTAAAAATAGTTGTGTTTGTCCAAATTGTATCTTTGCTTTTAAGATTATGACTAGAATATGGAAATGCAAAAAATAAGCATGGTACCCCTAATGTCTTTTTTCATCTCTTTATCCACATACCCTATATAATTATTCCTTTAACTATCAAGGGAAATTTTCTGAACTGTTTTTTATAATTAGAATACATATAATATATAATACATATTATATATATATATATATATATATATATATATATAAATATTCTTCAGAAGATGACACTAGAAACCATGAAAGCATTCACTCCTTGTCATGTGTAGTGACTCCCTAGACACAGACCACCCACAGACATTTCTTAGAGGGGAATGCTTAGGAGCACATTTATTTTAGTGACTCCATCCTTGGGATGCACACAAGCTTCAATATCTTAGAAGGTACTAGATAGGATGTGGGCAAAATTTCCTCTTGTGTATCTACCATCATACCACCATTTGCTTCCTTGCTCACACACACACACACACAAAAAAAAAACTATAGTCTTTGCTCCAGAGCAGAGAGAACACCCCTTCTTGTTTTGTTGAACTGAGAAAGTGTTCAAAGATTTGTATGAAAATATGGAACTTTGGCCAAAAATGCTAGGCTAGGTTTTGGGGATTATCTTTAGGCAATGACACCTCTGAGTGGTGGACTTCTATGACACATGCAGGAGAGTCAGACTCTGTTATAGTGGCATGGTACAGATATGTCTGACTTGACAGTGAAAAAGAAACCTCCTCAAATCCATCTGATATTATATGTGACGCTACTGCCCTCAAGATAAAGGAAAAGTCCATGTGGAAAGCCACTGAAGGTTCGGCAGAGAGAAATGACTTTTTCTACTTTATCCTTTTAAGCACACATTGCTACCATTTCACCTCACTAATCTCTGGCAGGGCCTGAGCCCCAGGGTGACTGTTGAAGAACCAACACAGCGTAGACGTCTGCCTTGGACATCTTCATTACTGTCACTGTCTACTATGAGCAGCAATCTGAGAGCAAGTCTTCTAAAAGAGAGTGTCCCTGTCCCCTCCCAATTCTCTCCTGAATAGGCTCTTGGGCTCCTAATAAAAGCAATCTTTCATCTCGCTTGTTCTGAGCCTCTGTAAAGAGGAAAAGTGACTTTCATCTGAAATCCATCATCTTTGGTCCTGAATTACCTACCAACTAGGCAGATGAGCAAATGCTCAGAGTTTGGAAAATGGCAATGAGGATGACTGGAATGGAGGGAGGAAGGGAGGGAGGGAGGGAGGGAGGGAGGGAGAGAGAGCAAGGAAAACAGTTAGCTAGTAGATAGTGTGAAAGAGAATTGGTCTTATTGGGATAAGAAATTTCCACAAGGCAATGTCTTTGGGATAACAATGAGACATGAGAAAGACACACAGAGAACAGAATCTAAACCAGAAGTTCCTAGGTTTGAACACATCCACAGGGGAAAGAAGACTAACCAAATGGCTTTCCCATGAGAAAGCCACAAGGTAGAGTTACTTTATGGAGAGCTACTGGTAAAATAAACCAGCGGCCCAAAACTGAGACTCTTAAGGAAAATAAACAAAAACAAACAAACAAACCCTAGGAAACCACTCTGCACTAAGTTGAAGTAATAGAGCATTCTCAATCCAAGGCAAATGTTTGGACAGCTTCTTGGTTAGGGGAAAGGCCTGGGTTCGGAGAGCAATTTAATAAATAGATCTGGAAAAGAAAGAATAAAGGACAGCCACAGGAAAAGTGTCTCTGGAGAAATTTGCTGAATTATGGAACAGTGATGGCACCAAGTAGGAGAGAAGAGAGACAGAACTGGGACACCCACACAGCACCTTGCATGTGGTCCTGTATGAGATGTGGTGGCAACCATGAGTGCCATAGCTTTTCTATAACACCATGTCTATTTCTGTAAGCTCCACCATCTGATGACCTGGCTCCCAGGATAATGAAGGACTCAACCCTGTGATCCTAATGCATTGACTCTGTAAATCCAACTAAATTCTGAGTTTCATGCTAGTTAAGACACTGAAATAACTGTTTTGAAAGAAGGCAAACAGCATAAAATGATTTGTAGTATGCTCTCCAAGGTACAGAAGAAACCTGACCTCACAAGCCTGCAGCCGGGCAGTTCCTCAGCAAGAAAAACGAGGGAAGAAAATCATTTCCATCCCAAGTCCAACTTTTAGAGCGCAATTCCAAAGATTTTCCATGTTGCAAAATTTTCCAAACTGCAAATCTTTTTCTGAGGCAGCAGGCAAACACTGCTATTCCAAGTACCACAAATACTGAGGAATTTACACACAAGGGGTCCAATGTCATCAACTGACAATGATAAAATAACTCTGAACCTTTGGGCAACTTAGTTCTGTGAATTCAATGGTGGAGAACAAGCACATCACTGTGTTCTCTCTCTTCAGGGGCCTAGTGGTCTGCACATGCTTGGAGATGTGTAGATTCACTCTGTCTTGAGTAAACTCTGCTCAAAACTCATGACATCTCATTCGCAAAACATGGTCCCCAAAGTGTTCGTCTTTGTTACTAACACATTAAGATTATCGCTGACCACTGCCAAGCTTCATAAGGGAGTAGGGTGGGGGGAGATGAATTTTCTTCTACAGATGTCTTTTTCTGTTGTGCTATCATTTCTGTCTGTGTCTGTGTGAATTCTTTTTCCCTTTATGATAGTAAGATCCCTTCAGACAGAGTTGTTTATGACAGGCCAAAAGCTAATAAGCTGCAATTGAAGGACTGGCTCTTCTAGATGGGCCTTTAAATGGGCATCCCAAGAGAGGAAAACATCATGAAAGGACTTGAAGGGCAGGAGTTGGTCCTTTCTGCAGCTGGCATGACTTTCCCAGTTCTCTGAATGATAAATTGGGTATCAATAGCCATCTGTCCATCCATCCATCTGTCCGTCAGCCCACTAGCGAGCTAAAACTGAAGCACATGTGCCAGCTGGGCTGGAATGGCAGACTCAATCCTTCCTGTTTCTGCCGCTCGACAGCCAGTTTCCCACCCTGCTTTTTCTATTGTTTCCTGCACACCAGCAACAGTTTCCCACCCTGCTTTTTCTATTGTTTCCTGCTCACCAGCAAGAGTTTCCCACCCTGCTTTTTCTATTGTTTTGGTTTCTGGTTACTGATACTTTCACTATAGCCCACTGAAAGAGAGCAGGGGATGTAAAGTCTGTATATATTCCAGAGTGAGATAGAAAACTAGATAATTTTTCAATTTGGGTTTAATACCAGGATATATTCTGAGTTCAACAAGTGTACAGCTGTACAAAAATACAATTAAAAGCATGTTCCTCATGTCCGGGCACTTTCAGGTAGACCTGACATAACTCAGGGAGAGATGATGAAGTAGACTGATGGCAGAAAAAAAAAAGCTTACATTTAAATTATTGGCTAAGAACTCAGTTGGGTCAGGGTGTGTGGTGAGGTGAGAGATGGGGCTGAGACCAGTTATTAGCAGGTAGGTGGCAGCAGCCTGATTCCGTCACACTGCCACCACCTGGGCAACTCAGCCAGATTCCATCATCCAGTGCTAAGTCTCTAAACCACAAAGACAAAAGTAGCCGCCCCTCTTCCTGCCCTATCCTCCAGCTGCAGGCCTGGGGGTGCGCTGCTGTTCTGAAGACAGTACCCTTTGATCACTCTAGCTTATGAAAGAAAACAAAACTCAGAGGAAGACGAACACTCAAAGGAAATGCCATGTTATTTGAAATAGACAATCAAGAGGTGGTAACAGGAAAATATCCCTAAGGGGTAGTTCAAACTGAGATGGTTAGACCAGAGTGGAAGCACTATTGTCTGGAAAGCCAGTCCTTTCAGTCAAAGCAAAGAGCAAAGGAAGGTTCAGAGTTCAGAAGAGCAAGCTCCTCTCCAGAATGCAGGTTGGAGTGGTGCACTGCAGACACTCATTCCGCTGGGTGTTAGGGGTCCCATACAAATGACTTGCATCATGGAAAGGGAGATGGAAAAATGAAAGCCACTGGAAGACTGAGCTCAAGGCCCAGAGTAGTAAAATTCACTAATCTGATTAAGGTATTTACGAGCTATCATTATATTCTTAGCAGCCTCGTCCATCCTTTTGCTCATTTTTACAGCATGGAATTGTACAAAGAACATACTTATTCCATAAGGTTTTGCCAGCTGTACACGGAAGTGTTGAACCTCCTAGGCTGTTAGTAATCTTCCAGGACTTCTTTGAGAGCTGGGCCATGGCTGACTAATAATTTCCATATCAGTGCGATGCATTGTCTCTCACTGGCTTGCAAACAGATAGGCAGGATGCTTCTAATTACTTCTGTGTAATAACAGCCCATTTTGGACATACTTTACAGGGAGCCAGGATGTCGGCTCCTTTAAAGGAAGGAGCTGGGGTCTGAATATTAGAGTGTCGTGACATTTGGATATAAGAGCTGCCTGGATTTTCTGAGTAGGCTGAAGCCCCTTAGTTGAATGAATAGAGCAGAGCACTTCACACCTGAGAGGAAAGGGGATATTTTTTCTTTGCTGAATGTCCCTATACATTAACACTTGTACCATCTCACTGAAATGATGTCTTGGTACCTAAAAGCAACTAGCCTCCACATTGGCATCTTGCCCTGCTTGGGTAAGCTGGCATTCTATAGGGATAAGCCAATTTATCAATACACATATTTGGCTTGACTTGTAGCAATTGCCAGAGTTCTGAAGCAATAGCAGCAACAACAACAAAACCACTAAATAAACTTGAACTCAACTGATGCCTTTCCATTATTAAAATCTCAGTAGTGAGAATGTACAAAGGAAAAAAGGTGCACTGATTCTTTCACGTATCATGCTTAAAGACCTCACAAGGCAATACCCAACTACTGTTATGCATTAACCAGAGGTGGTGTGCCAGGAACCAATGAGACAGTAGTGCAAACGAGCTGAGCTGGTCTTCTGTGGTTGATAAAGAACACACTAGATTCTGCTTCCAAAATGTTTTTTTTTTTTCTGAGGTAGCACCTAGAAGGCCAGGATTTGACCATTTAGACCACTGGCAACTGAGAACACCTTGATTGCTCAGATGCTCAGCACAGTGGACCTAAGGCAACTGCAAAGAAAAGGCCTCAGAGCCGGGCGTTGGTGGTGCACGCCTTTAATCCCAGCACTCGGGAGGCAGAGGCAGGCAGATCTCTGGGAGTTCGAAGCCCGCCTGGTCTCCAGAGCAAGTGCCACAACTGGCTCCAAAGCTAGAGAGAAACCCTGTCTCAAAAATCCCCCCCCAAAAAAAAAGGAAAAAAAAAGAAAAGAAAAGGCCTCAACCATCATCTCTCTATGTCCGAGGACCAGCAGAAGGATACAATTTCAAAGCCAACCTGGAAATGTCCTGGTGCAGAAATAATGTCCCTGGCTTTCTTGGAGGGGAACAACCTCTCCCGGTGTTAGAGTATACAAGCCTGCATAGCATGTGTGGCTTCTGTCACTATACTCTCATCTGCGTGCTCAAACAAGGTTGCTGGTGCTTCCCAGCATAAGATAACCAAAGGAAAGCAGGCTCGCCTGAGAACAGGCCTATCTGAAGTAAACACTGATGTGAGCCTTCTGTTGTTCAGGGTTTTTTGTTTGTTTGTTTTTTGTTTTATTTTCAGGTGGCAGGAACTGAAGCTGGGGCCTCCCATAGGCTTGGCAAGCATACCACCATAAAACCGTGTCTCTCTGTCTCTCCTTTAACCTTTTTTCTTGACCTCATAATTCTTGGCTGCACCCCACCCCCACCCCTGCCTGCCCCATTTAAACAGCAATTGGTACTAAAGATATTGACTTCTGAGAACCTTCCCACCCCCTATTTGGACAGTTACTACCGAGGAAACCCTCCTCGCAGATGTGAAACTACACATGGCTGTCTGATCTAAGAGACACTTGACAGTTCCAAGCTGGACATCAGTGCCCTAAAATAGCAACAAAGCTGGGGAGAGGTTATTTGGAGGGTACTGCTATTATTTTTAGAATGAGAGTGGAAAGGTCCTGGATGTCTGAAAATCACCAAGACTGGTGTGGCTGGTGTCCAGGTGCAAGGCTCTGTATGGTACAAATGGCCACCGTTATTGCATAGCCTCTTCAGGATGTGCCTCTCCCCCAGATGGGCAGGAGACAAGGCTGATTCCCTCTCCCCCCTCCGCCCCCCCCAAATAAAGGTCAGAGGGAAGCCACAGAAGAAGCCCACCTGCTCTGGTAGTGACTTTCAAGAGGTAGCCATCCAGGTCGATGTGGAAGTGGGGCGTGTGGCAGGGCAACGCAATGCGGGAGCCATTCCAGCGCACGGTGAGGTGCTGTTGCAGGCTGACCGTGCTGTCACCCAGCACCAGCTCCACAGACTTGGTCCAGGAGAAGGAACGGGTCCGGCGTGCATCATTCTTCACCAGCACCTGAAAGGGTGAGGCAGGGGAGGAGCAGTCTTTTGTCAAAACATACTGACATGTCCCCTGAAAGTTAAATGTCCGTCCGTCAAAAGTGTTGTAGTGTGGATCTCCGAAGACGGTGCAAACGCCGGGCTCTGTGAACGAGAGAGATCAAAAAAAGGTCACAACCAAGGCAGTGATGCAGAGAAATCAGAAATCCCTAGAGAGCATCTACCAGGTAAGAAGCTTGGGTGGGATTCATTAAAGGAATCAGTTTGAAATGGGTTGAGTGGTATTAAAATGTTTGCTTGTTTTTCTTACAGTCCCTTTAGTGTGTTCACATTTAGAGATGATTTCTAATACGTCAGAATTCTGAGAACATCTATATGCTGTAGCCTGGCAAGCTTCCATGAGTAAAGGCCTTACTCCATAACCCACATTAACAAGAAATCAAGCATATAAATAAATAGCAGCAAAACTATACCACATGAAAACAAGAAATATAAATTGTTACATTTCTTAATTTGAGATTTTATTTTATTGTGTGTGGTGGTGGTGGTGTGTGTGTGTGTGTGTGTGTATGTGTATGTGTATGTGTATGTGTATGTGTATGTGTATGTGTATGTGTATGTGTGTGTGTACTGAGTTATTGAAAAGGCAAGACAAAGCTGTTGGATCCCCTGGACCTGGCTTGATGGGGATTGTAAATTGCCCAATATAGATGGTTGGAAACTGATCTTGGGTCCTCTAAATACAATTTATTTTTATTTTGTATTATGGATGTTTTGCCTGCAAGTATATCTGCGTGAGGGTATCAGAGTCTGGAACTGGAACTCCAGACAGGTGTGAGCTGCCATGTGGCTCTGGACATTGAACCCAGATCCTCTGGAAGAACAGTCAGTGCTCTTAACCACTGAGCTATCTCTCCAGCCCCACAGTATATGCTCTTCACCACTGAGCCATTTCTCTAGCTCAGCGGATATGTTTCTTATATTTTGATCCACATGCCAAAATCTAATGTTGAACAAAACAGTAAACTGGAAAATTCTTTAGAATATTTAGCCCAATAGTCTCCACACTTTGAAACTCCATTAATTCATATTTATAAAAGCAAAGTAAGGTTTAATACTCTGAGGCATCGCGGTGGTTTTATAAAAAATATTTTTTATAAATAGAAATTGATATTGATTTGTTTTCAGGAGGATTTGTTATCTTTTTCTAAGAAGGCACAAACCATCAGAAAATTAATTTAGCGAAATTGGCCCAAAGAATGAAAAGCAGTTAGGCATCTGTTTATAGCACTCAGAAGGCTGGGGTAAGAAGACGGCAAGTTAGAGGCCATCCATGACTACACAATGAGTTCTCATCTCAGATGAAAAGAAAAATAACATAAGCAAAAGTAGAGCAATTTCCAGCCAACAATTATCAAGAACAATTATCAAGTCAAGATAATTATCAGAACAATTATCAAGTCAAGAACAACAGGACAAACGACAGGTCTGGGATGTAAGATTGACATGGTTAGCAAAGGACCAAATGAAGCTCTTGAACCTTCAGGGCCGAAAGAAATGGCCCAGACTGTGTGGGGTCAGAAATGAACCTGGATGACAGCTGAGTTGCAGACAGCAATGGCACCAATGTCAAGTTCACTCTGTGCTCCCACAATGTATGGAGAATAATGCTGGTACAGGGTACAGTTCATCACTAGTCTCCTGGGAAGCCACACACATTTGGAATTTACAAAATTAACTGATATATCTGTGTTTTTGTACAACTTTTTCAGAAATAAAGATGGGAGTTTCTGAAATATAGAAACATTTCAATGAACAGGAATATTCAAGAATATCTATGAGGCACCATCATGGGGGTGGAAGAAGTGTGTCAGTTTGGCAGTGATATTTGAATTCAGTATCCATTTCTAAACCTTTCTTATTTTTCTCTTATCCATTTTCATTATGACCCCAATTTTACCAGTGTTATACATTGGGTGTGCCCCCTACTACCTAACTTCTCCATCTAGTTGTCCTTTGCTTGGACTTCTCCACAGTGCATTTTTCAGTCCTTGTTGATTAGGGTGGATTCGAAACCTGCCTCCTCACACTGTTCCTCACTCTCTAACTAGTGGAACCCATTGCTAACATGAAAACATCGAATGCTAATTGACTGAGTGAAGGCCGTGTGCAGCCCAGGAGAGCAAGAGCTCAGACTGTAGTATTCCCCTCTTCCACTGTGCACAAAAGTTCTTACCTAAGTTCTAAGGCTCTCAATCCCACCTACTCAGCAAGTTAGAGAGAACCAACTGAAGCTCTTAAATCTTCAGGGTTGAGAGAGATGGCCTCAGATTAGGATAGCCAAAACACTCACACACCAAAGGGTCTGGCTTTCTTCCCCTAAGGGTGTCCTTAAAGCCGTGAACAAGGACTGGGGCTTTCCACATCTGGCACTACATTCTCGTGACCATTTTTCTGCCCCAGTAGCAACTGTGGCTTCTCTTGATGTCCTGATCATAGTTGCAATGAAATTATCATTAATCAAAACATTGGTAACTAACACTTGTCAAAAGTTCACTCCCTGTGTTCATTCTTCTGCATGCCTACTAATGGTGGAGACATTCTCAGAAAATTGACAAACTGTCTCTGAACATTAGACAAACAGTTAGGCACTTGACTGTAGACTATGGAAATATTGAAAATATTTATGAATGATCCGCAGGACTAAGGAAATGTTTTGTTGTGGTAAGTGAAAAACCAGCAACAAGATTCTGTTTTAAACTCTAGGATATTCTCTCTCTCTCTCTCTCTCTCTCTCTCTCTCTCTCTCTTTCATACACACACACACTAAACAAGACTCACTTCTTGATGGAACCACATATGAACTTTTCCCCCTATTTTTCTAGTTTTGTTGTTGTTTTGTTTTGCCTTAAATAATAAAGTGTAGGCACTCACAGATAAAGCCAATTGTGTGACAAAGCAAATCCCGAAAGAAACAATAAAAACTGGACTACCCCGAACTGGCCTCAGGAAGCCAGAGTTTGCTCTTGGCTGGACAAGAAGTCTTGTGGTATGTCCAGAAGAGACCCAGAAAGTGGAAATTGTGTGTGAACAGGCCTGTCAGGAGAGATATTTTTTAAGAGTCTTTAATTTGTAGGAGAGAAGAGTTTGGAAGTTGGTATGATTTCCTGTGTGACTGCAATATAGATGCAGCCAACAAAATTTCAAGAATATGAGGAGGCTTGAGAATTATGTGTTACACGTGGGAACATTCGAACCATGAACTGAAACCATTGTGAAACTTTGGCCCCTTTTCCTGGCACCCAAAAGTACTCATGCCAGATCCCAGAGGAGTGGGCTAACACACGTGCTTTAGAATGTCTGAGTAAGACTGCCAGGGTTACAGAAAGCCGACTGCTTAGCAAGGAAGCATCCAGATAACACTTTGGGAACAAAAGTGAGCATTGCACTCTCATGGCTATTTTCAGGAGAGCCAGTCAAATGTGCTGCAATCCAAGATGTCCAGATGTCTGGTCACACTATTCTGGAAAGCTTGGCTCAGTGGTTAGGGGGAAAGAGCGGGAACTGTGGAAACAACTCGTCTGAATGTGCCTAAGGCCAGAGATGGAGAAGGATATTCAGTTTCTCTCTATGGCACATTGTTTCACAGTCTTGAAGTCAAATCTTCATTTGGGTTTATTGTTGTTGTTTTATTATCAATATATGTAAATAAATACACATGACCAGAGAAAAAGAGATCAAGAGGTAAAAACTCAAATATTTAAATTTTTCAGAATTCTGCTTAGGCAACGGCATTATATATGGCATTTTCTTTCTTTTTCTTATTTATATTTTTAGTTGGGAGCCTAGCCTTTAATGGCTGAGCCATCTCTCCAGCCCCCCTTTTCTTGTTTATGTTATTAATATTATCTACACTTTCTTATATACTTTCAGAAAGGAATATTGACTTTAAAACCCAAAATTCCTTCCTCACAACATATCACATTAATGAAACACAGGAATTAAGATTGCTACCTCTGAACACGAGGCTCTGATGTTTTTCTCTTAACCTCCTCAGAGTGTTTTGTTTTACCCTGGATATACCGATTTTAATGAAATGCCTTTTCTCTGGGAGCAGGGTTCTCAAAACATCTGTCAAAGACTATTAAGTGAGAACTCTAGAATCCCAGGCACAGAGACAAAAACAAGAGAAACTCGGTAGACTAATCTAGCCCTTTCCACAAAACAACAAAACAAAGCAGGAAAAGTGCAAGGAGGAAACAAAAGCCCCTTCATGTTCTGTCACCTAGAAGTAAGCAGTGTCTGCAGCTCTAGGTGTGTGTGCGCGTGTGTGTTTATTTTCAGAGTTAAAACAATCCTGTACATGAAATTTTATTTCCTATATTTCATTGAACATGTCATAAGATTTCCCCAGTCATTCAAGCATGTTTTCCTTTGAAAGCCCAGAAGGGAATTTTCCACCTCAGTCAATTACTGCTGCAGAGAGGGAGGTCTCTCCAGCACCTTGCGTGGGGATCAACACATTTCCGGAGTGGCGTCCTAACCACAGGGCACAAGGCACATAAACATGGCGTTAAACCTTTCTCAGCACAAACTTCAGGGAAACAGGTCCTGCAAGACTCTGGATCACAGAGTCATGCTAAGCTTCTGGGACCCTAGGAGGGTGAGAGTCGCTGCCATGCCAAGTCTTGGGTAAGAAGCAGGAAAGGCTGGGGTTAGAAATACTGCCTGAAACATGAGTCAGCTGCTATTTGCTGAGGTGACTTTTGACCATGGAAGGATCTGGTAAAAAGCAGTCCCTGTGTATCTTCTACCTGGGTAGCTCTGGCCTTGCACAAGGTGTCAGTCAGTGACAGCTGTTAGCCCACAGGCACTTGAGAGCCAACAGATGCTCCTACCAGGTGGCACCTGGATGTCTGTAAGGATGTGTACATTCTCTAACTTGATTGTAAGGGGTGGCACAGGGAAACGGATAGTGGCTCTATTCCTATCAGAGACAGCAACTGATCTACATTAAAAAAGAAAACACCCTGAGTTTATAAAACTTTATATAGGAATTTTTATCATATGGAAATGTGTTTTCCCATATTTCCATAACTACATATACTCATCAATTTTATTCCCTAACTTCAAGAGTTAAATCT